TTTATGTTTCCTGTTTTTTTTTTTATGTGAAACGTTGCCAAACGAGCAGATAGTTCACCTGATTTTAAGTGGCTGTTGTCGCCCATGGACCTCTGCTACACCCGAGGGTTTGCAGATGCGTTAACAACCTTTTTGGAAATTGGGCTCCGGCTTTACGCCGGTCTTCTGTGAGGTCGTGGTACATACCCGGACGAGCCTGCCCATTCGTGCAACAGCCGAGGCTGCTGCTTGGCCCTACCACCGTAAAACTACTGTTTTTTGCATCCAGAGATATCGTTAAACCGTTTTTTTTTTACACAATACGAATTTACTATTAAAACATGCAATTAATGTTTTAAACAGTAAAAAGAAATAACCAAATACGATAAAACAATAGCACGGTGATGTTTTGTCACATTGATTGGAATGATTATTTGATTAAACTCTACTTACAAAAATACAACCCGACACTAACGCGAACGTCAACAAACATCGCCCGCGCAACGTCCTCATCGACCCGGTCGAGGAAGGGGACTTAAATACGTCGGACCCACCGTCGCGTCGGGGGTCCCGCCAAATAACAACTACACACTCACTGCATCAACAAACACCATAAGTTCGTCCTCGCCTTCGAGCACGGCGAAACTAACACAACGCGTACACTAGGTACACCCTGGTTCCAGGGCGGTTATCACTGACAGGGCCCGCAGTCACCGACTACCTAAGCACAGTCAAAGGCCATCGGGTCACGGTCCGCACCGACCCTCGATGGCCCGTAGGCGACATGCCAAAATGAACGCACGCATGAGTACATGCGCAGCCCTAGACGCTCAGGCTTGCCTTAAACCCGTGGGTTCTGACTAGCTCACGGGTTCTGCATTCGATGAAGCTTTAATATTCTAAGGACTGAAAAAGCGTAACATCAGTTATACAAATACAAAAACAAAAAGTTAGTGTCCAATAGACATGATTTATTTCGAATTACGTCATAGTTTGGCATCAGCCTTCGATGTAAGTAGTAAAACAATATGGATTCATTTGCGTCAAATAGGGAATGTAATGAAACTCGCAAAGAAAACATATAAGCCAAGAGAAAAATTAAATTAATGCATTAAATTGTTGGAACCTTTGTGCAAACGCAGAGAATGCTAAATGAAGTCTTAATTTGTGACGAAAATGCAGATAGAGTACTCGTAACAAGTATCTAGTCGTATTTGTGAAATTTCTTTAAAAGAGCCTTATACTTTTATTATACTTTTATATTGTTTTAATTTGATAAAAAGTAAATATAGAACAATTATTCTGCACAGATATCGACACACTTCAGGTTTCTTTTTTAAACAAGTTACTTCAGCTATAGGCTGACATTATTCTCGGGCAGAAAAACAAAAATGTTACTTAAAAAAACATCCAGGTCTTGATGTAAACAAGGAATGAAGCGCATAGTTTTTTTTGAAGAAGCAAGAAAATGTAAGAAGCTAATTTAACCTCTATAAAACTAGTTTCGACCAAAGTGCGTGGAGAATGAAATACGAATGTTATAAAGCATTCCTTGCGGTAGTTTGGAAAGAAAATTCATTAGTTGCCGACTGTTATTAATCTAACTTTAGTAATTTGTGTGCTTCATTACAGTCCATTTCTTTAGTTCTAGACTAGAAATGCTCTCAGTATAACTTTACCAATTTGAAGCTCCATTACTATGTTCTTAGCTCAATTTAGTTAGAGGTATGATGTCCACTTCTCATGTGTAAATTCGAACTAATTCATTAGGAATAATTATAAAAAAAACTTTAATATTCAACACCATTGTCGGAGCCCAGAGTACAATACAATGGAGTAGGAACGTCATGTCGGACATATTGATTAAACGCGCCTAGTAGTTAAGGGAGGCTTCTTTCCAATGTCACGGCCATTGGTTCGGGATTGCACGTGCACGTCGACATCACCAAGCCAGGGTCTTATTGATACAAATAACAAGTCCATTTTTATTAACGAAAAACAAAACAGACTTCAAATATCTCGCGATGTATTCATTTCATAATTGATTTTCAGGAGTTCCCTGAAGTATCTCCGGAGTCCAAGATCCAATAGCAATGAAATTAATATGGAAGCTAAAGCAAACGACGTAGTTCTGAGGTCAAAAACTTAAAAAAATACAAACTAATCGATAACCTCCTTGAAGTCGGTTGACAACATTTTTAATGCATTAAAGGCCAGAAACTTATTGATACAAATAAAAACATTCTCAATTCATTAACCACTGTATTCACTCTTGCAAACAATGTTGATCACTTTCGAAACTTTTCGCAAGGTACACTTTGATCCTTTTATAATCAATCACAGAAACCGATACATAAATACTAAGGTCGACCTTCCTTTGTTGGAAATGTTCGTCATGCGAATGTATACATGACTCAATTTAAGAGAAATCTTTCAGCCGCCACCGCCGCCGTTGTATTTTTATCCTTTTCATTTTATTTGACATTTAGAGTTTTAGTTTAGTCGGCGCACAACGGCGCAGTTTGTAAATATCCGGTGACTAAATACGAGACGAGAGTCAGCGCACGAAGTGAACAATGGATATGCTAGCGGCAGGCAATTTATTATAAAATATCTCCATTAATAGGTACATTTTATATCGTTGGTTCTCATAATTTGAATGTTAATGGATGCTAAAACAAAAAAAAACATCTTTATTTCACTTAAAGAATCAGTACAATTTATGAAAGGAACGACCCAAACCATATAATCCGATCCTTTTTTACTTATATAAAGGTTTTGTGTTTACTCGAATACTGCACGTTTTAAAGGTAGCCGTAGCAGATTTTATCTTTCAATTTAAGTTTCAAACGCTTCCAAGTGTATGAAATCACTATTAAGTTAAAATGAATTCAATGAAAAAATCTGTTGTTCTAGCATGTTCGTAATTGTTTAAACATTTAAATTACAAATTTCATCCGTCAACATACACTTTAATAATTGCTGCAATATTCACATGTGTCAACGTTTTAATTAGCTGTCGCTGACCAATCCGCGGTTGACCTATTGAATTTATAAAAGCTATTGAATCTTTAAAGAACTTCACGATCGGCTGGTGGAGAATGAAAAGGCTTTAATTAAACTGCATTCATATTTATCTCGTCATTACTCTTGCAGTGAAAACACATTAACAGTTAATGAAACATTGATTTAAGATGACGTTTAGGTTTATATGTTGTTCTGTGTAAATCGATAAACGCTTTTTAAGAATTTTCTGTAATGTAACAATCATACAAATACGAACAAAGGAACTTTGTAATTTATTGGATTACTGTAGTGTTAGTTATAAAAGATTTTTCGTGTGATGAAATGGTGATATTGTATATGCAAAGTATCATAAAATTCGTAATAATTAAAGATGAACACACTTGAAACGTTTTAGGATGACATACACTTGAATAATAATTGTATAAACAAAGGATCATAAAAAAATAAGTAGCAATTGACTGCACGCTTATTTTTGTGGTATTGTTAATTTCAATTTTACGACGTGTAATTAATTAGTCGTTTGACGACTCCGTTAATTATGTGTGATGACGTGATAGATTTTGTTTGTTTGGAAAGCGAGCGAGCGGTTCACCTGACGTTAATGATAATTGGATATTAAAACCACACATAAGGTTACAAACAAAAATCTTTCAATTGAGTGGGTCCCGGCTACCTCACTCAAACGGCCAAACGCAGAAGTATAACACTTCGGGGAAGTACTGTACTGTATGTACGAGTATAGATTAAATTCACATGATTTCACAATTTTCCTTAACGTCCCTTACTGTGCCACGATATTTGTTCAACTTACGAGACGGGTGTGGTTTTAAGGGTAATTAAGACTGTGAGAGATGTGATAAGAATACATTAAGATTGTTTAATGGGGCGACACATTCGTAAACAGGCTTAATTTGAGACAGAGTTAAAACAGAGATGACTCAATGTCATTAAATATTATTCTATACTAAGTAATACAAGACGTCGGTGAAAATGATCTCAATACATTCTTTACATTTGTTCGTCATTATGGTTTCCTTTTTGCCGACAATTACACAAGGTGGAATAAAATTAATTTAAGGATAACATCATTCGAATTTGTTTCTAAATTCAAGACAATCAACGCTGCAAGATTCTTTAAACTATTTTCGCTAGATCAGACTGAAATAAAAACTTTAAAAAATTGGCAATAGCCCCGACATTAAACTTATAAACGAACCATAAACCCTGGAGTGTTTGATATTGGGGGAAATATAAAAACAAATTAAACCTGATAAAATCCGTAATACGTTTCATTTGACCATTCATTCGTCGACTGCAATATATCAAAGATTATAGGTAGTGGTAATTGTGTTTTAATATTTCGGAATACGTTCGAACGTATTTTGTATAGTTATGACGGGGTATGGAAAGTAATTAGTGAGCGATAAGACCATACTGCGTGCATCGCTACCGTTGATAAGGTAACGCGCCGTGAGCGAGTATAGGAATTTCTTAACGCGCATCGCAGTATAATTCTATTTGGAATCCGATTTAATAATTAAAAAATAACATAAGAAATTAACTTTCAGGGCATTCAAGGCTTCTATGTAGCCAATCCATTGTGCAATGATAATGCCGAAACAAACGACACTAAACATTAAAGCACTATTAATATGTATATTTATATATACATTTAGATCTATATTTGATATAGATATATTGAACGTTACTGGTTCATTCAGAGTAATACATTCTAAAAAGACACACTATTTAATTGCGTTCTCCTCCAGCTCTGACCGACGTGCTATGATAATATATTGAGCCGAACATAATTGTTACATAAAATGTCACGTTTGTTTACGCGGATGCCCAAAGGGATCGCCGCCGGATGACGATTCCCAGAGGCGCTGGACACGAGCCAATACCGCGATAATAACATTGCCAAGTATAAGTGCTCAAGTGCCGCCGCCGTTCGCTTCTGCGGACTGGGCGCGGCCAGCGAGCGCGTGACTCACCTGACTTGTTCGTGTTTCTGTATGTAGATCTTGTGGAACTGGCCCTCCACCGGCGAGATGATGTCGTTCTTCATCTCCATGGCCACGTGCTGCGGCAGCACGGACAAGAGCAGCCGTTCCTGAAACATGCTCTTTGTTAATGCACTAAAATTATAGCGATAGATTTATCTAGTATGTGAATGTCCAAAATTTTTCTGAATTTCTCGTTTAAAAATGATAGTATTTTTTTTTGCTCTATTTTATTGTGCTATTGTGTAGATATTAATAATTTGTAAAAAAAATCTTAAATATTGATTAAATTGTTATTAAGTACAAAAAAAATATATTGTTAAAAAATCGTCTATATTTGTAAGAATATTTATTTATTGGTGTTGGCATTAAAGGCTAATTATTACGTGTACCTATTGCATTAAATTATGAAAGTCTATAAATTATCAACAGAGCTTATTTAGTCCCACTAAATAATATGCTTTGAATGAGCTCGATCCAGCCTCGCAGCCAATACGGAGGATATTGATTTCAAGTAATTGAAGGCGCCGCAGCGATATCCAACTTTGTGAGGCGCGATTGATCCCAAGGCGCGGCTTCGGTTACGATCTCAGCCGTTAATCCGAGACCGGCCTCCAACTACGTGATGTGCAGATGTTGCCCTAAAACTGGCCGTAACATTAGCTCTGACCCTTTTGTCCGTATTTGCTCTGATTCGTGACCGAATCGCTTAAGTTTCGAGCACAGAAGTTTGAACACCCTGAAAACCTCTAGTGACATAATCATGAACGTGTAAGCAAATAAAATTAAAAACAATTAAAATATTTTCAAGCGCCAAATCGATGTTTTTGTATCGGACCGTACCTTGTAGTTGTTGAGTAATTTAAATTACTTCTGATGTGTTGACAAAACTAATGAACAATATTTCCGGTGTCATAATGAGTTTCCAATGTAAACATTTGGTTATTTAAAGTATATTGACACTATATGTAAACACCACAAAACGTTTACACAAAAGCAATATTGACAACATAAACAGTGTGCTTACGGCGTTACGGAGTACTTACAATATCATATTAATATAGGTTAAAGCTTATAAAGTTAATATCCTGTGAATGCGAAAGCGAGTCAAGTTGCTATTACCTACAATGATATTAACAACATTAGTTCGCTTGGAATTCGAATAGTTCTGACAACAATGTTACCAAGTTCGCCCTTACGTATTATTACAACAATAGTTCTCGTTTCCATCTCTAGTCTTTATTAGATGCCATTGTTTTGTTCTCAAAGGCATTCAACGTAACGTATTATTGTAATCGGATTACAGTAATTGAGCGACTTCGGGATCGTCGGTTGCTTACAAAAATATAAAAATGTGGGAATATTGGACAATAATAACTATCTTACCGATTTTATCGAGTTTAATTTGTTTTTAAATTCTCCAAGGTTTGAATTCCATTGTAGTCTAGGGACAGACTTCGTTGTTTTACGATATGTAATAATTTACTCGTATCAAAATCAACTGTTTGATTATTTAAGGTAAAAAAAAGGATGTTAGTCTTTGTTTAATGTTCTTTTCTACTGTTCAATTAAGTTTTCTCAAAGGATTTAACTTCTTCACATGATCGTTTTTGAGTTTGCTCTTGACTAGCAAGGCACGGCCCTGTCATAGTTTTCAAATTCCATAATTGCACGTTATCTTTCAATGTCATTAATCCCGGGAAGGTTCTAGGCCCTTGACGTTTTAACGAATTTATAAGTGCCCAAAGTGGAAGCTCAGATTTTTTCAATAAACTAATAAATAAGCAATAACAGTTATCAACCGACGTACGAATACAGATATTAAATTGGCCCAATACCTTTGTCCATAAAAAATAGTTTCTTTTTCCAGTTGTGTAAGGGCGTTTCACAGAAAGAAATGCCGTACCAGGTTTGTATAACATAACGGAATAAGGACAAGTTTTAAAACAGCTGTTTAACTGATTTAAGTAACATCGCTCTTCTGTTAAATTCAACCTAACAAAGGGAACGGAACACTTAAGAATGTCGTACCAGCTTTTCGTTTTCGTCCTCCATGTCCAGGCGGGCGGCGATGCAGTTGCGGGTGTCGAGGAAGGCGCGCCTCTGCGCGGTCTCCATCAGCGAGTGCATCAAAGCACCCACCACGTTCACGCACACGAAGACCACGACGTTGGCCACCATCTGTGGTGGAATTTATCAAGTTATACGCACACCAACGGCCGGAAAGCGACATGACTTCACTGTCAAAAAGTTGTTTTTGGTCGCCATGGTAACTTTGACATTTACCTATAATTCTAAGTTATATAATTACAATGTTATGGTCTTTAATGTCTTTTTCACAAACAAAGGGTACTGGTACAGAGGATACATTTTTGGTCTCCTTCTTTTTTACGCTTAAGAAGTATTACTTCTTACGTGAAGAAGTATTACATATATACACACATAATTTTTATTTTTCGTTAGAAACGGGCAGTCGGGTCACATAACGATAAGTTACTTGAGTTAGTAAACGCAGTTTTCGTCGCTGTAGTAGCTTACTTGTTTTACCAAGAGAACGAACAAATTTACCCAAAAAAAGTATAACCTTTGAAGGAGCACAGCTATACAACAAAATGCCTTCTTATATAAAACTTAAATAGCCGCATTTATCAATTTTAAGTCTCAAAAATCTCAATATATAATTGATAACTTCTCGCCTTCCGTTTGAGACACAAAGCTGTTGACTGTTTGACGACCATTACTTTAGTTTATACGGAGCTGAAAGCTGGACCCTCCAAAATCGAGATATAAGCAAAATAAGCTCTTGAAATGTGGTGCTGGAGACGAATGCTAAAGATACCATGGTCAGCCATCAGGACAAACTGCCAGAATGTCACTTTTACAAGAGCTCCATAACAAAAGATATGCCGAGAACGTCAGCTTTGCTTCTTCGTACATATAATGCGACCAGAAATGCATGAGCTGGAGAAGCAGTTGTTCGTGGGAGAGATGGAAAGCGCTCCAGGGGCCGAATTCCAAGACGATAGAGTAAAAGTTTTGTTGAGGCAACAGGAAAAACTCCACAACGAACCATTGAACTGGCGCAGGACAGAAGCGAATGGAGACAAATTACATATGGTCACGAACCTCATTAGTGAGGGAACAACAAAGAAAGAAGAACTTTAGTTTATAATTGTAAAATATTCACATGTAAGTGGCATTGTATTTATTATAGGGAATAAATTTATTTAACCATACAAGTTACCCTACCTATAGGTATTCAAAACAACCGTAGCGTTGCAGGAACGTTGCCAGTTTCAGGCTCAGGTGATGATACGTCGATAAACGTGAGTTATAAGTACACTTGATTTAAGCCCGCCTGCTATAGGATGTGATACTTTGCCCCGACCAACCTCGACAAGCCGGTCCATTCTTGCAATGCAAAATCGACTATTCATGAAAAAAATGTAGTGAAAATCTTATGGCTCGCATGCGAATATCGAATTTCGGTTACCACCCTACGATACAGTAAGCGACTTGAACTTTTGTTCCTCCCTGTTTTTACAATGTTATATATGTATTTCCTATTAATATTTGTGGAAAGAAGATATGTGATCTTTGTACGTGTTATAAATTATTTAGTATTGGTTTATGTTTAGTAAAATTAAAATTTTTTAAAATGAATAAAGAGAGATGTCTAATATGTACTTTACGGAAACACTAATTCATTCGCATACTAAACGAAAGAAACTTCAAAGCATATATTTGCTGTCCATTGCTTTTTAGTTAGCTGTATAGTATACAGCGTGTCTTTACAATCGCGACAATAAATGAACACACATATAGAGGATAACTTTTTAAAATTGTATTAAACATTTACTTTCTTTAAACATCAACATTTACAGAGTTATTAAATTTTCCAAAACAAAGAATTTTAGAACATCCTTACGCATAAAACTGTAACGTAAAGTTCATTTGTAAAGGTCACAAAGCATATGAATAGGTAGCATATGAATTTAAAAGAGACAAAACATACTAGTTAGAACGAGAGGCTTGTAATTCGACGCTGTGGCAACGAATGAAAAAGTCTCTGAATGAATCAGTAAGTTGTTGTTGTATAGGATGTTACAAATTTTGTTTCTTTTTTACTTAATTAGTTTGTTTGAAAAATATTTTATTTTAATTATGGGTTTTTTTAACGTTAATATTTTTTATGATTATTGGCAAGTAGCGTTAGACGTGAGTTCATTTATTGTCGAGCTGGTAACGACACTACGTGTCAATAGTCAGTTACTATAGTTTCATCATCATCATCATCATTTCAGCCTGTTTGAGTCCACTGCTGAACATAGGCCTCCCCCATAGACTGCCACGAAGCACGATCCTGAGCCACCTGCATCCATCGACTTCCCGCACATTTGCAAGGAAGCTCAAAGTCGCTCAGCGAACTATGGAGCGGGCTATGCTCGGTATTTCTCTGCGTGATAGAGTTCGTAACGAAGACATCCGCAGTAGAACCAAGGTAAGCTGAAGTAGCGATGGGCCGGCCATATAGCTCGTAGAACCGATAACCGTTGGGGAAGAAAGGTTCTCGAGTGGCAGCCTCGTACTGGCCATCGCAGTGTAGGACGACCCCCCACTAGATGGAGTGACGACCTGTGCAAATGTACTATAGTTTATGGCTAGTTATTTAATATTTTACAGGGTTACTAAAAAATCTTCCGATTAATTGTTAGTAATTCGAAAAACGAAAAATATATCATATATCGCCACCATATAATCCAGAAAATAAAAATGTTTTAGGAGAACCGATTTTATAGACAGTAATAAAGAGAACATTTATTTAAAATAACTGATGATGAAATGGATGTTTCTTATGTCGATGAATAAATGATTTTGATTTAGACTACACCTAACCTTACTTTATAAAAGCGTGCAAGCGAATATTAATTGTTGTATTATATATGTAAGCAGCACCGACCTTCCTTATATGAACATGTCAATAATAATCTAATGCAGATTTAGACATCGCGAGTTTAGTATCTCCTAAGGTGTAAATCCCATTCGATGAAAAAATTGATACACTCTAACAAATTCGTAATCCTCTTAACGTATTCTTTTTTTTACACAAATTGTCACTGCCAAAACGACCTTATCACATTACCATTAAAACTACATTCCACTGATGGCTCATATTGACGGTCGTTAAAAATGAATAATTCACAACATTTTATCATTGCAAATAACCGCAACGTTACAAAATGGAAGTCTATAAAAAAGCGTGCTAAATGGAACGCCATCAATCAGTGTTACGCGAAAATGACATTTGATGCTAATTCACTAATCGTTTCGTCGAATATTAGATTAAAAAAAGCTGTTATTACATTTACTTCAATATTAATATAGGTACATACACAAATTATTTTCACTTTACGAATTTTAAGGGGCTGGTGAAGATTTTATATGGAAAGACACATTTTATCACACTGAAAATGTCATTACAATTAAGTAATAATTATCCAGTTAAAAAATAATGTTTTCTTACATTCATACTTGAATTTCTTAAAAAACTGTATTTGTATGCGTTCGTTATCTACACTACTCTTGTGAAGAGGGAAAGATTTATTGTTTGTTTGTATGTTAAAGGTATCACTTGCATCAAAGGCGATTTTTAATTTATTTTCATTACTGAAAAGCTGCATTATCAGCAGAGTTACATAGGCTAAAATATGTTTACATAAAAGTAAGTTTATATTTAAACATTTCAATCAAACCGAAAATAAGAACAGAGAACTAGACATAATTGACGTTTGGGGTAATTCGACTGTCAAATATGTCAGAATTTTATCCGTCATATTATATAGAGTTAAGAAATTATAAACGCGAGTGCGTTATTATTTGTTCGGTTAATTTACATTCTGCAGATTGTAAATCAGAAAATGAACTAAGATCGGTGACCCGTGTGAATTCGGTGAAAGCATTTTCGTAGTATAGCAGTCTGAAGGGTGTGAATACTGTCTTTTAACGACAAAACTAACATGAAAGAGGCGGATGTGTGTAAAGATCAAGGTGTGGTAAATCGGTGTTCCTGCTTGACCTTTTGGCTGACAAGCTCAAGCATATGACCATATATGAACATTGACAAAGACCAAGTTAAATACTTATGTATTTTACTAAGCATATCTGCATAAACAGAGCCGTGACAGCTCAGTGTATCACGGCTCAGTGTACACGGCTCTGTCGGGCCTTTAATTCAATATACTCGAGCAACCTGAGTTCGATCCCCGGTGCTGGCACCGATGAAATTGTTAATTTTCAGTGCTGCCTTATCATGTTCCGCGGTGACGGAAAACATCGTGAGGAAACCTGCATATTTTCGAAATAATAACAAAAAAATATTTCAAAAATATGAGAAATCTGCCAAACCGCAGTGGTGCCGCGTGGTTCTATGCCCTGATACAGACAGCTCAGAGTAGGCCTTTGCCCAGCAGTGAGACAGGTATAGGCCGTTACATTTGCTATAAGTAATGTTAAGGTGTATATGACAGATATGGTAAGAAAAACAATCTATTTAATAAACCGCATTGACATCACCAACCAACCATGACATGTGAGGCAGCAACTTCTAAAAGAAATTACATATTACATGTCTCGAGTGTCCAATATATTATGAATACGTTTTGAACTTTTGATTGACGTCGTTTCTGGCAACTGAATTCCATATATAACAATCCAATAATAACAGACATATTTACATTGTGTCAGTTACTGGCTTCAAAGTCAAGAAGTCAGTGTTTGATATATACCTACAGTTATAGTAACTAATAAACTAACGCCCGGTTTCTGAAACACTGATCATCGTAGAAGTTAATTAATCAGATGTTAAATACGTTTTAAATGTCATTTGAGTTGCCAAAAGGATGGTTAAACTGTCTAAATTGATCAGAATGATCTCCTTAATGATCAGAATGATGCAAAAATTTCCACCAGATAATTTTCCGTTATTCAGACATGTTGACTGTTTAACGCCTATAACTTAATAATAGACCTCTGGCGGCAAACTTCGTTATGTTTGAGGAAATACCAATTCCTGTCGAATCCTCAACACGAAAATTGAAAAATTAAAGAAATTACATTCACGATTTGCCATTAATGTTGCGTTAGATTCATCAGGAAACAATGTAATTACTTTTCGTATTATG